CTGCACCACCCCTAACAAGACTGCTTTTTTTGCCTCTGAGTGTCTATACGTGACCACATGAAATTGCCAATATCAACCATTTTTTATCTAAAAAAGGTAGCTGTTTTGTATAGTTTACCTAAATCAATGTGTTTTTTTTTAACAACTTTTGTTTCCGTGATTGTGACCCTCCTTTTTGACCTGCCCCCCCGAGTCTCTAAGCTGTTAACACTGAATTTCAGGAATCTTCAAGTTTGTTCTGTTTACATAATCACTACCATATTTCAGAAGCATTCTAGCTGACATGATTAGGTATACTTAACCCCCTTTATATTTTGTATCTTTCCTACTCTCTCAAAAATATACCTTAAAAACCATATCTCTTGTCTTATTTTTTCTTTTAAATATATTTTTATTGATTTCAGAGAGCAAGGGAGAGGGAGAGAGATAGAAACATCAATAATGAGAGAGAGTCATTGATCGGCTGCCTCCTTGCATGCCCCCCCATAGGGGATTGAGCCCTGACTTTCTGGTTCATAGGTCGATGTTCAACCACTGAGCCACACCAGCCAGGCTTGTCTTATTTTTTTCTTAATCTACCAAAAGGAAGAGGTAAAATTTTGAGCTTTTACTGCATGCCAACTCTTTCACATATTTACTCTGTTCAGCCCTAGGAGTTAAGTATCATAGATTTATCACTTTATAGGTGAGGAACCTGAGGCTCAGTAAGATTATGGGACTTGCTCAGTTTCATTTTCAAATAAGTGGCAGATTCAAACCCAAATGTATCAGTCTTACCAGTCAACATACCAAGTCTTAAATGATCCGCTTAAAAAATTCACCTATCCACCATGTAAAAAAATTAAAAAGATAAAGAAAAAATATAGTAGATAAAATAGGTACATATTTATAAGGAAGGTCATTTTTAAAGCAAATCTTTAGAATGTGAGCTCCCTGTGTTAGGGATATTTTGAATGCTCTAACCAATACCAAACACGTTGAGGATGTTTAATATTAAGCAGAAAGATTGTCAACACATTTATCTTGTGGGAAAATAAAGGATGAGTAGAAAATACAATTAACCAATAAATACTGTATGATAAAATTTATTTGACATTATAATAGTTACCTCTTTCAAGATCTTATTTCCCAAATGAGTTAGACCCTCATTTTCACTCAAGCTCCACACCAACAATATCATCATGGTACAAAGAGGACTGACGTTTTTATAATTCAAGAAATCCTATTCTCTTCATCCAGGCTATTGACATCCCTGGGTATTCTAAATTTCCTAGTTATCCATAACACTTCCGAAGTCATCTTCATGTCAGTCCAGGAAGTTTAGTCCACTGACAGATTTCTGAGTTGGTGCAACTTTCTGAGAAAAGGTGGTTTACATATTTCTATGTTAATAATCTGTCTTAGGAGGATATAGAATGCTAGAAAGTGTCTTACTGGTTACCCTTCTTAGAATAATATAGAATTCTAGAAATTATCTTGTGAATTAGCAAATGTATCAAGGAACTTTACTTAATAATACTAATAAACAATCTAAGGCTATTAATAAACAACCTTAGATGCCACTGAGGTGTCTTGTCCTTAAATGATGAGCAAGAGCCTGGCTGGCATAGCCAAGTGTTAAGCATTGACTTATGAGCCAGGAGGTCACGGTTTGATTCCCACGGTTCATGCCCGGCTGTGGGCTCCATCCTCCGACATTTCTGTCTCTCTCTCCCACTCCCTTCCTCTCTGAAATCAATAAAAAAATATATTTTAAATGATGAGCAGCAACCTTCACTATGAAGTGTATTCATGCTTCATGATTCAATCACTCTTATAATAAATTTTTTTCTATCCTTTAATCCTATAAATTAGACATATCCATTAACTAGTCCCAAAAAGAACCAAGGCTTACAGAATGTAAGAGGAAGTGGGGGTGGGGGGATAAGGAATGATGTGGCAGGGAGAAAGTTGAATTGAAAACTATTTTTACCTGCCTTGAAGGAACAGAATTTTTCCATTTACCTCTACAATGGCTGAAATGCTGCACCATCTCATCACTCCATTTCAACCCAAGAAGTGGAGTAAACAATAAATGCCGCTGGGCGGGCAGCTCGGCTGGTTAGAGCATCCTTCTCTTGCTCCCCTCCACTCCTTCAGTCAATCAGTTGCCTGAGCATGTTTATCTGACTACCTCTGCCATGGACTCATTTATTAATTTATTCTTTTTGTTTGTTTAAAATAATGATTATGCACTATTTCAGGCAAACAGACTAGTAATAGAGAACAATATCATAATAATAATATACTTGACCTAGTGTAAGGAAACCTTGCAAATACAAATGGATACCCATTCAAATCTCAGTCTCCTCTCCATACCAAGGGCAATTACCATTTAAAATTTAGCATTTATCATTCCCATGCAATATCTCATAGTTTTATTTCACATGTACATATCCACATATAGTATAGAATATAAATTTGTGTGTTTTAAAACTTTATATAAATGGTATTATACTGTTTATCCTGCTATAATAGCTTTTTTCACTCATTAGTTTTGAGATTTATCTATGATGAATCATCTCTCTTTTCACTTATTTTAAAAGTTATTTAATGAATATAACAATTTATAAATCATTGTGGATTACACCATAACACTAGATATTATTATACTATATATTATACATATATATCTATGATGTGTATATAATTGCATTATTTATTTTTTTTAAATTATATTTA